AAAGCAAATGTTTTGAGAATGATGATGGCAACAAATGTACAAATGTGCTTGACACAATTGATGTATGTACGGATTGTGATAAGAGTTGTACGAACCCCCAATAAAAAACCAACAATAAGACTTAAAAAAAAAAAAAAGGAAAAGAAGACCTGGCCATCCACTTTGGAGAAGCCAGCCACGAATAACCCTAAGGAGCTCCGTTCTCTTCTGGCACCTGTGGAGTCACCATGAATTGGAGTCAACTCCCTGATGGGGGGTGGGGAGGGGGGGCGGCGAGGAGAGATTGGCTTGGTTTGGCTTTTAGTATAAAATTCAGTATAATCAAAAGGTGCTAATTCAGATGGGCTAGTTGGTTTTCACATGGATCCTGATAGCTTGGCCTCTAGCTGAAGCAGCCAAAATAAGTAGCCGATGGAAAGTTAAGATTGCTTGATGACATATTCCGATTTTCCGGAACCAACGTTTCATCATTGGAGACAAGCGCCAAAACAACCCTCCACGCACTTGAAACATAGATGCCTGCCTTTCTCCTTCTCCTTCAGGACTTCGTGTACCACTTCACTGTGTTCGTCTTCTACTTTGGAGCCTTTGTATTGGAAGCAGCGGCCACATCCCTGCACGACCTGCGGTGTAATGCAACCGTAGCTGTGCGGCCCCTTCTGGACGATAACCAGTACAACATCAACGTGGCGGCCACAGTAAGTGGTCCATGAGTGCCCACACGTGCCTGCATGGCCAGTCTCCTGCTATTAGGCCACAATAACTCCAACCATTAGCATTAACCATCTCATTGCTTTCATCTGTTCGATAAGCCTATGAACAAAGCACCATGGGCGCCCTCTAGTCTTGCAGAGGATGAAGCTGAGGTACAAAAAGGCTGGCATTCATGTCCAATCCAGCCAGATGGAAGGCAAATGGGAAGTCAAGGTTAGAATGACCTGTTATGCAAGTATCTCTGTAATCTCACCCTTAGCTAGTTCAGGTCAGCCTAGCAGAAGGTTCTAGGTAGAATAAGAACAAGCCCTGTAGCTCAGTGGTTCTCAACCTTCCTAGTGCCACCACCCTTTAATAAAGTTCCTCATGTTGTGGTGAGCCCCCCCAACTATAAAATTATTTCCGTTGCTACTTCATAATTGTAATTGTGCAACTGTTATTATTCGGGCGACCCCTATGAAAGGATCGTTCGACCCCTAAAGGGGTCGCGACCCGCAGGTTGAGAAGCACTACTGTAGATGGTTTTGTAGTTTGCTACATAGGCCTTTACAAAGGCAGTTCAATATCCAGTGTTGTAATATTGTCACACCAATATCGAGGCATTTTGACAGCGAGGAGGGATAGTGGACTTTGGAGTCAGATCAGGCACAGCAAAGGCTACTTTGTAGAAAGAATTTTCGTTTTTCCTGCCTTGTTAGTCTACGTGAAATGTGGTGTTAGCTGGGTCATTCATGGCTCAGTGCCTACGCAGAATTCATTTTCAGTCAGTGAGTATTTTTGAGGGTCTACCTTATGCCAGGTACGCTGCTAGGTGTTGGGGGACGGGGCAAATAAGTTTCAGTTCCATCCATTTAGGCAAATAGTGCAGCCTAGTGAGGTAATAGAGGCTGATAAACCAGCCATTATAATAGATGATGATACTAGGGGATATTCAGTTACACACACACATGCACAATTGTGTTTATCTTCCTTAATTCATCAAGTTGAGTGAATTTGTCAATTTGCTTTGTTTGAAGTAATTTAAAATATACAAGAGGCTTCAAAAGGTTCAAGGAAAATGGAAATAAAAGGTAAAAGAATATTTTCATGGATTTTTAAAGCCCCCATGTATATTATTTCTTATAGATATACATTTATATTTATATGTATGTTATATATGTCTGTATATAAAATTTCTAGGATGAGAAAGGCCATTATTCTTCTTACAAATATTTCTTTTCCCTACAGTTAAGCTAGGGAGCCCTGCTATGTATTGGGCTGCTAACCTCAAGGTCAGCAGTTCAAAACTGCCAGCCACTCAGTGGGAGAAAGATGAGGCTTTCTACTCCTATAAACAGTTGCAATCTCAGAAGCCCACTAATGGAGTTCTACCCTGTCCTGTAGAGATGGGTGTGAGGTGTCTTTTGTTTTTTAATATTTGGGGCTCTTCTGTGAATTTATCCCTAATATTCTTCTTTTTTATATACATAGGGTTTCAAAAATTCATGGAAAAATGGAAGAAAAGATAATTTTTCCACAAACTTTTGGCAGCCCCCATGAGCAGTCTTTTCTGTTTCCATCCCAGTAAAGCTGCCTCAGTAACTCCACTCCTCCTTAAGTTCTACATTGAGACCTTTTGTCCATAGTCACCAGTCTCCTAACACTTAAATGTATCATACATCAGACATGGGTGATGCACTATGAAAAGTTGCCCTTTTTTTCTTCTTAATACACCTGAGAGGGTGGAAACTTCATTTTTACTAATAATAGAGGTCAAGAGCTATCATCTTTTCAGGGCATCATTTCTAGACTAGAGACCTGTCAATCAGAGAGCCGACCAGCAAACTGTAAAAAGGTTCTGTAGGTGAATCTGATATTCCTTTCCAGACCTACAGTTTCCTTGTTAACTGCCTGCATGGAATCATATTTTATCACATTTAATTGCTTCATCTTGTATTTTCCTTTGAGTCAGAAGCCCCACAGCAATCAGGACATATATGCAGTATATGTAGTGCTGGGCCCCTGAACCCCCAAACCAAACTCACTGTGGAATCAGTTCTGACTCAAAGAGGCCCTAATGGACAGAGGAAACAGCCTTTCCAGATGAGTGACTAGTAGGTTCCAACTGCTGACCTTGAAGTTAGCAGCCGGACATGTAATCCATTCTGCTTCTAGAGCTCCTAGTTGATGCTAACGAGACCCTCGTTGAATCCTCCCAGAAGAGGGAGAGCCACCCTGATGATTCATGTTTACCAGTCGTCTCAGCTGTGCACCACTTCTGTTGCCACAGAAATGACTTGTTCTGACCAGTGCTGGGTTCCTTGACTCAGATCTGGGCTGTGTAAACCAGGACCTCAGCCTGAGGTTTTAATAGCTGTGGTTGGGTGTTTACCAAGTGAACATGAGCCTGTCCACAATGGAGAAAGGCATCAGAGGCCAGGATGTGTCCAGCAAGGGTGACATCGTGAGACAGGAGCCCTGGTGATATGCCAGGTACCACTGGCCACGCTTAGAATGAAAAATGAGGCCCCTGCCCCCGTCAAGAGTTACAGCTTTGGAAACCCTGTGCAGGGTCGCTGTGAGTCAGAACCAACTTGATGGCAGTGGATTTGGTTTGGGGGTGGGAGTGGGGGTGGGGGTGGGGGTTGGAAGAGAGGATGAGACAGTGCTATCGACTGCCCCAACAAGATGACTGTAACAGATAGCCCTAAGTGCTGGCCTATCTTCAGGGAGGCTGGTCAGTCTTTGTGTTAGTCTGGGTAGACTAGAGAAACAAATCCATAGAAAACCATATGTATAAGAAAGAGGTTTGTATACAAGAGCAGTTTAATATTAAGAAAACATCCCAACCCAGTCCAGATCAACTCCATAAGTCCGATATTAGCCCATATGTCCGATACCGATTTATAAAGTCCTCTCAGACTCATGAAACACATGCAATGATGCTGAATGTAGGATGAACGCAGGCCAGTGGGTAGAAAGTCTTTGGACCCAGTGGCGTTGTTAGCATCTCAGCACTGGCAGGGGTCTCCACGTGGCTTCCCCAGCTTCCGGGGCTGCATCAGGGTAGGTCCATGTGGCTTTTCCTCAGGGATGTCTCGCAGGGAGTCAGCCTTGTCAGTAGAGAATCTCCAAGGGAGTAGCTGAGAGAGAGGATATTTTTCCTGCGTCCAAGGAGGAAAATACCAGAGTTCCAAGAACCCTCAGGAGAAGGTCGTGCCCCCACAGAGGCCTCCTTGGCTATAAGCTGATTGACAGAGCAGACTCCACCCCTTCACTCTAATCCTATCAAGTCCCAAATTGACACCAGATTATGTAACTACCCCAGTCTTCAAATGGTTGTTTTTTAGGGTGACGGTGTCAGAATTGCAACGCTAAAGTGTATTTTTGTTTCTTCTTTCTTAGATTTTTGCATTTGTGACGACAGCTTGTTACGGTTGCAGCTTGAGTCTGGCTTTGCGAAGATGGCGACCGTAGCACTCCTTCTAAACGAGCTGTCCGCCTTCGGTTTCATTCACGTCCTTCCTGGCTCAGGCCCTGTGGGACACCACTTCATCCAGACACAACAGCATCACAGCGTTTTTTCTTGATTTTGGTTGTATTTTGCTCCCCTCCCTCCTCAATATATATAGAGAATCTAAGTGCAAGTTTTGGTTCGTTTCATAGATGAAATCTTAATTTTGCTATGATGTTAAACAGAGAGAGGCTCTCATTCTAATAGTTTTAATTCCACATCTGTTTTTTTAAATAATACTCTCCATAAATAAGCAGGTATTCTTCATAAAGAAGTATCACATTCCATCGGGGTGTTGAGCCACCTGTACCTGATTTTTCATAAGTAACTAAACTCCCTTCAACCACATTCAAATAGACTTCCACCAACAAATCTTTTTAAGTTAAACGGAGATCAGCACTCATTCTCTAGAAAGCGACAGATGATGAACCTCTTCAGCTTTGAAGGCCAGGCAATCTCTGTGACAGTGACTCAACTCGGCCTTTGTAGCTTGTGATCAGCCATAGACAACAACACACACATACACACAAGCCTGCTGTGACCCAACATAACTTTACGTATGAGAACAGGCAGGAGGCTGGATGTGGGATATGGGCCATAGTTTGCTGACCTCAGATATCAAATCTTAATTATATATTCTATATATTGAACTGCTCATGAAGGTGTAAAACTTTCTCAACAAGCCACATACTCGGTCCTTTCATTATGCAATAATCACTTTGCCTTGGTGTCAAGTGGACAAATACTTAGCTTGGGTGGCGCATTTAGTTTCTCCAGCAACTCCAAAGACAGTCTTTAGTACAAAGAAAAGTAGCTTGTGAAGTTGCTTAGTCTAAGTAATGGTCTCCTTAGTCTAACTAATGGTCTCCTTAGTCTAACTAATGGTCTCCTTACTCAAACTAACGGTCTCCTTAGTCTAACTAATGATCTCCTTAGTCTAACTAATGGTCTCCTTACTCTAACTAATGGTCTCCTTAGTCTAACTAACGGTCTCTTCCCAAAGGAGCGCAGCTGTCTTCATTGTTCAGAGAGTGCGACTCACTGCTGAAACTGCTATCTAGCTCCTCCTAGCTTACATTGGTCTTATTTATGCTTCAGTATACAGTTGCATGCACTGTGCATGGGTCTACAAATAACCTGTGTGTGGATATGTGAAGCTCTTGGAGTGTTACCTTTTTTACTTCTGATTATTTTGCAATACTTTTCCAAGTTAAATTTGACTAGGGTGTTAAATAGAGCTTAAGGTTGGAGGTCTCTACATAGTGTAATATTAGCCTAGATATCTATATTACCTTTGAATTCCTGAGTGGCAGATACATGAAATTATTTTTTTTAAAGAACTACTGGCACTTGACAAAAGGTCTCTGATGGAAGAATACAGAAAAGGTATTTTAACCCACCTAGTTTTGGAAAGGTGCCAAGTGGCTTGAGAAGAGAGTGCGAGATAGTCAGTCCCAGTGCCCTCCAAGCTGTCTGAGTAGGGGGCTGCCTCCTTGCCCCCAGAGGGCTGCCTCGGGAAAAGGGGGCTTTTGCTCACCATATTCTTACAGCCCTTGGCTTTTGAGCTTCAAGAAGATGCCATGAGTAAGTTGGACTATCATACTTCATGGAACATAGAACAACCATGAATGGTGTGATCCGCATATTGGTTATCTTCCTCTAGAAAGAGAATGATACTATATTCTTATTTGTTAGAGGACTTGAAAGGCAAAAGATATCTTTCCAGGTAACCAGATGAAATCGGTCTTAGGACTCTATGCCCCTGCCCTATCTTTTGTATAATATCCTGCTTCCCTAGTATTTCTACTGAGCTCCGTACCACACACCAAACCCGTATTAGGAACTGTATAGTATACCATCATAAATGTGCCATAATCATATAGAATCTAGTCTAGATAGAATTGTTTCCAGCCAGGCTTCAAGATTTACTTGTGAGGTCTTATTTGTGTTTCCAAGATCTAACAGATCCATCCATGCTTGGTGGCATTAAATTTTACATGATTTAATTAAAACACAGTGGTGACACTTCTGTAAACAGATTGCTTCTAGATCATTTAGTACTAAGCTTAACACTCATCTAACTGTGACTCCTCAGACTTGTAGATTATAATTGTATTCTGGATTTGTGAGTTGAGTGACAGCACTTGAACAAAACGTATGGCACTTGAGAGTTGCTTTATGTATCATAGCCATCGCATCGAGAACGTGTTGGTTGGTTTTGAAATCTGGTTACTCCATGCTGAAATTTATTTTGTAAGTGTTATGACCTTAATAAAGTACCCATTTGATAAGTTTTAGTCGTCTTATTTTTTACCCCGTTCATTTGTAATTCAGTTAGAAGTGTGACACAAACGTGACAGATTTAGAATGTCTAGACATGTAGGAGTTCTGATTTCAACATTCCTGCCTCAACGTCTACCCAGCAGGTGTCAGGCTCTTTCCTTTGATGAAGATGAAAGAGGTAAGTTTTATGAAACCATATTCCAGAGCGAACTTAAATGAGCATTGTACTCTCTTTTGTTAAAAGAAAAAGTCATTTATAGCATACTTCTTAGGTGCCAGGCACTATTCTAAACATTTGTTTTGAAACATTAGCTCATCTGATCCCCCATAGCCACCCTATAGAGTAAACACTGCTATCCTGTTTTAAAGGTGACTGACACAACTCCGAAATGGCCAGGGTCACATATCTTGCTTCTTTTGAAGCTGCCATTCAAACCCTTGTAGTCTGACCTTGAAGTGTAGTTTGTTAGCTGCTATGTAGGTATCATTTGTCTCAGACTTTCTATAACTACTTTCCAGGCTCATTGGTTAGAAGGTCACTTCATTAGCTGTAAGAATTTTGGCCAAACCTGTACCATGGAGAAAATGCGAGCTAGCTTAAGTCTACTAAAGTCCGGGGCGGCGGGGCGTGGGGGTGGGGGTGATTGGCTGTCTTTTGCATGTCTCTGAATAGTGGTAGTTCTGGCATGGACTATGGAGCAGCTTCTCTCCTCCATTACCTTACATCAAGTCAGCCTCCTCCTGAATTGGCTCATCTTCTTGACCATTCCTGGAACTGATTTTAGAAGGGTTCTTCACTCTATCCAATCTATGCGACTATGAATTTATATCCTCTGTGCCAGAAGCTTAGTCATTTTGTAGGTTCTGAACAGCATACTTCAGGTTTACTACTAATTGAGCCAACCTCTCAGGTAGCAACTTAAGGTATTTATGGGGAAAGAGTCCACAGGTTAAGGGGAGAAAATAATCTTTAGACCATATATTTGAATAGTGTGACAGTTGAGCTTTTTGGGAAGAAAGTCTTGCTTGCACAGTTGAGACTGTGCACCTAGTATTGAGTCAATACCAGTGCTCTCTGGACTAGTCTTTCCTCGAGTGACTTCATGGCTTCCTTCCTCACTAGGTTAGGCTGGCTTCTCTAGAAAAGTCAAACCAGTGACAATGTGTCTGCATACATGTCTACATAGACAGGTGGATGTATCAAGAAATGGTAAGTCCACTGCAGTTTAAGTCCATGGATCAGATATTAAGCTGAAGGTTTGAGAGATGAGAAAGTAGGAAAACCACAGGCTGGGGGATACAGAGGTGAATGAATTCAAGGTGGGCAGTCTGCCGATGGCTCTTGGGATCGACAGGCAATATGGTAAGTCGACAAGCCAGATGGAGGACCAAGAGCCAGCAGAAATGACAAGCTTTCTCAGAGTCCACTGAAAAGGAGGCAGGCTACACCTGGAAGGAGACCCTTCCAAGTGCATCAAGGCTGCGACCTAATCAGAGGGACTGAACTCGGCCAGAACTGCTAGCTGCTGCTCAAGAGTGGATGGCATTTTGCTATAGCCCTTTCTGGAGATTTACTGCCAGAACCCTGGCCCGGCAAGTTGACACACAACCTCATTATCACACTTACCTTGCTAGATCTTTGCTCGGTGATCACCTTTGCAGCCCTGCCTTCCTCAAACCGAAATCTTACACCAACACCTCCTATTCTCCTTTTCTGCTATATAGTTCTGTGGCATTTATGACCATATACCATAATATATATTTTGCCCTCTACTAGATTGTAAGGTTGGTGGAGAGGAATCATCTACTTTGTGGACAGTCGTGCCCCTAGTACCTAGAATTTGTGGTTGACTGCCATCAGTTCAGCCCCTCACCTCATGATCACGTGGACAACAGAACAAAATGCTGACTGCCTCTGTAGCCTGTGTACCTGTTGGTGTGGAGTTTATTTTGACTCATGGTGACCCCAGAGGGGAGAACTGCCCCACAGGGGCTCCAGGGCTATCCATGTTTACGGGGTCAGGCAGCCTGCTCTTTCTCCCAAGGAACAGCTGGTGGGTTGAAGCCACCAACCTTGTGGTGAGCTGACCAATGCCTAGCCCACGGTTGTGCCAGCGTGGCCTCGTGTAAAAACTAGGCGTCCCAAGTAACATTCAACATCGTTATTCCAATATTTCTCACGGTTGATGTTCCTGTAGATTCTGCTGACTTAGATAATTCTCAAAGAATGAAAACTGAAGTCAAATATTATTTAATGCTATCCTTTTCTGGTGATTTTCATGGGAGTGGCTATGGGTAATAGTTATTACCAGAAATTATGCTAGGTGTCGTTCTCAATCTAACAACTGGGGGAGGTATCAGTTTAGTGCTAGTTGCTGTTGTGTCAATGTGATAGTTCAAGTTTTTAGGTCTCTTATCGCCACACTCTGTCCTTAGATAGGTGGTTTAGGTCTTCAAGATGAAGGGTATTGCTCATTCCCCCACCTATGGTTTTATTGAATTCTTTTAACTATGTCCAATGTCCTGAGGTCATGGATAACTGATTGAAAGCAATAGCTTATTGGTGCATTAGAAGTGTATTGGGTCACACATTTTTGTTGAAAATTGTATATGTTGGGGATTGGTTAAATACGCCATCAGCATAAGCATGAGGACATTTGTATGGAAATTTTGGAAAAGGTAAAAAAATCTCATATACATTCAAATAAAACCCACTGTCAATGAGTCAATTCCAACTCACTGTGACCCTATAGTTCAGATCTGTTGCTTAGGGTTTCCAAGACTATAAATCTTATGGGAGGGGAAGCCTCATCTCCCTTCCTAGGAGCTGCTCATGATTTTGAACCACTGACCTTGTAGTTAGCAGCCCAAAACAATATATTACATCACCACGGCTCTTAAACAAATCTTAAAGCAATCACGGTTATGATTTTTTTTGCCATTGTTGTTACTTTTAGGGAATTTTAACAGTTCTCTCTAAAATTTGATAGCACACCCCAATTATTGATCACATATACCTTATTTATATAAGTAAAATATGAACTTCTGTCAACCTATTTTAACTTTTAGTAAAGTATTTTCTTTTTCAGATGATAAAATATAGTTAAAATATTCGGTCACCCTAGGGTAGAGTCACATGTTTCTTAAACTGCACATATGCCATTTTAGAGTCCATAGTAATGACCTGGAAGCTAGATTTATCTCCTTTGCTAGCTTGATAGAAAATCAAATAAGACAATTTACTGTTCTGAGTTGGTAGGCTCTATGTCTGAAACCTGAATCCAGATTTAGGAGCTAGGTAAAGAATTGTAAGCAATTGCTAGGCTGTGATCAGCAAGGTCAGCAGTTCAAAACCAACAACCAACCGCTGGGGGGAAAGATGAGACTTTCTACTTCCATAAAGAGTCTCAGTAACCCACAGGGACAGCTGTACCCTGTCCTAATGGGTTCCCACAAATAGAAAGCAGCTCCATGACAGTAGGCTTTTTTGTTTATTTATATATGTGTGTATATGCATATATAGATGTATACATAGAGACAGGCATATATATCTCTCTATATATATGAGCACCTTTGTTGGTGACCTATCTGTTTGTTGCCCCTCTGGGGCCCATCTTCTGTTACTGGTCCGCGTCAATCCTTGTGCATCTGAGTACCTTGGCTCCCTCTCCCCAATTGCAGCCCCCTGGATCTCCATGGCTCAATATTACCCTATCTACTTGATTGTCTCAGGGCCCCCTCAGTTGCTTTTGTTGAGCCAAGTTCTGTTGATGTCTCTCCTCTCATCATCAGTCTGGACCTTTAGGGGATCATCAGCGACCTTCTAAGTGATGCTGGCAACCCTCTCGGCAGCGTGTTTCTGGTGGCCTTGAACTATGCGCCTGCTAAGCCTTCCCACACAGCCAGAATTCTCCTTACAAAGGATGGTAAGACTTTGTCTCATGTACTTAGAGTATGTTATCAAGGTAGACCAGTCCCTGGAAAAGAACATCATGCTTGGTAAAGTGGAGGGATGATGAAAAAGAAGAAGACTGTCGAGGAGATGGGTTGTATTTTTAACCACCTTCCTTTTCTTAGTTTCCCCTTCTCAAGGGCATGTACAGCTCTCCAGCTTATTGCTTGTTATTAATGTGTGGTTTTTCTTGTACTTTCAATGGCCACATTGATGAATGGCTCTCTTCCATGTCTCTCTTCAATTTACTCAAAAGTTAGTGCATGTTTTGTCAGTTTCACCAATTATTATTATAAAAATTAATGTGTATAATTTTAATTGCCATTAATCCCAGAAAGAAGCATTTTACTCTAGAAGTATACCGCTGGTTTATATAGGACTAAATGTCAGCTTGCTTGAGGGCACCTGATCTATAGAAGCAATGATAAATTATACCTGGGTGGAGACTTAATAGCAAAGAATCCATTGGTGACCGTTGTCTTGAGAACTTCTAGAATCTTGACATTTCCCTAAGGCAATGGCCAAAGGGTGACCTCATCACTTATGTGAAACCACGACCTGGTGAGCATCTCCAGCCAAGTTCCAAGGGCCACTCAGGTAGGTGGTGAACAAGCTCCCCCACCTTCCTGTAAAGAACACAGTTTAGGTTAAGTGGGAGACCTATATGGAAATGGACTATTAAGATACCCACTGCGACGGGGTTAATCCAAATTCAAAACCACCCTGGATAGTGTGTCCATGCTGTAAATCTTTACTGCAGGAGACATCTTCATTTTGCTCCTGCACAGGAGCTGGTTGGTTTGAACAAATCACCTTAAAGTTAGTGGCTAAAGGGTCTAACCACTGCTTCACTAAGGCCTCTCATAATTAATATGCCACAAATTAATTTTAGAAATAAATACAAGGTAATATGGAAGCCTAAGTTTAGGTTGACTAAACTGAGTTTGGAAGAGATGGGTGTCGGATACCTATTGGTGAAAGTATATATTTATACATAACAAAAA